ATTCAGAAAACACAATGACAAATTCGAAAAAATAACAAGTCAGAAAACACAACAACAAATCAGACAAACCGGAAGAGGTAGGTATAGTTTGAGACAGCGCCATTGGTTTGGGATTACTCACTGCTGACTGGACGAGACATCTGTCAATCAACGTATACATGGAAGAACCAGCCGAGGAAGAGCAGAGTCGTGGTAGAAAGTTCGGAGATGGTGTTAAAGTAGCTCAGTTTAAATGTATTGTATTAATTTCCCTTGCTATTTACATTTAGTTAAAAGTGTCTGTCAAACGTCAGCTCCAGTGGCGCAGTTAGATAAATGCTTGTCGTTGGCTTTTTGACGCGGTCGACCCGGGTTCGTTTGAGACAGCGCCATTGGTTTGGGATTACTCACTGCTGACTGGACGAGACATCTGTCAATCAACGTATACATGGAAGAACCAGCCGAGGAAGAGCAGAGTCGTGGTAGAAAGTTCGGAGATGGTGTTAAAGTAGCTCAGTTTAAATGTATTGTATTAATTGCCCTTGCTATTTACATTTAGTTAAAAGTGTCTGTCAAACGTCAGCTCCAGTGGCGTAGCCAACGATAAATGCTTGTCGTTGGCTTTTTGACGCGGTCGACCCGGGTTCGATCCCGCCTTTTGCCAAACTTTTTTTTCTCTCCCTTTTCAAATCTCGTATCACATCGTAAAGGCATTTATTTTCAATAATCTTGCAGTTTCATATTAGTTTATGTCGAAATGATTTTTTTAATGATTTTTTTTTAAGTTTAATTGCAATTCTTATAAAGTCATTGTCGAGTCATGCTGTTCGAGACTGATAGTCAAAGTCATTTTCTCCATTCATTAGAAATCTTTAATCTCTAAAAACGCATCTCTGAAGAGATTTGACTGAAAAATCCGTTCACTAATCGCACATCGCTAATAGAAATAAGCTAAAGAATCACCTAGCCGTTTGGTTTGATGAATAAATCGATGTCTGCTTTTAGCTGGGTATAAAGTGCAACTGGAAATGTGCATTGGAAATGACATGCTTTTCTTAAGCACTGATCTGCTAGATTTTTCTAAAACAGTCTGGGCGACTGGGCCAATGATGGTTTTTTCCAATAGTATCCAGCTGCAGACCCGCAGTAAACCGCATAAACACATTTCATTACACCAAATACACAAAATAATGTTCCTTTTAGCAGCATCATATGACCCCTTTAACGCACCCTGAAAGTCAGCTGAGATATAGCGCCTCCAATCGGGCCAATACTGCAATGGCTCTTCTAACTGTATTGTCAGTGTCCATGACTTCACGGTACAGTACAGTAACCAACAATGCAATGGCTCTTTTAATTCAATTAAGTTTAGTTCACATTTATTTATATAATGCTTTTCACAGTACATGTTTTTTCAAAGCAGCTTTACAGAAAAGGCATGTTTCTATGTTATAACACCACAATAGTCTTTTATGAGATGATATCAGAAAGTACAGTTGGAAGATGCTACAAATTACAGTATTTACAAATATCATATATGCATTTAAGCAAAATGAATGTGCATTTTAAAGCAATGACAACTTGATCATTTTGTATAATCATCCAGAGTTGATGTTCTGGAGTCCTTGGAGGGGTAGGTGTCATCTATTCAAAGGTGTTGGGTCATGTGAAGTCTTCATAAGAGGATCCAAGCTGGAGCTGGCATAAACTCTAGTTACCTCGAGATATTGACATTTGTAACAGTTGTTTGAATTATTATTATTTTTAATTCAGTTGATGATTCATTAATGCAGTTGATTCATTACTCAAAAGACGACATATGCAACAATTAAAGAATTATGTTTAATATTCTTAGTCATTTTCACTGATATCTTGGTGTTATTTACATTTCAGAATAGTTTATTATTCTTTTCCTAAAACAGACACAATAGTAAAGGGTGCCTAAAAAAGCATGAATAAGAGTAACCACATGGTCCCTAAGTTGAGCTGATGACAC